CGTTGGATGGAAAAGAATCCTAGCAAGGACAGCAAGGGCTCGTCTTCCTAATTCCACATTTCTGCTTTGAGGGTTTATGCTCGGCTTTCCAATGTTTTCTTTCATCTCTCTTCTTTAAGGGGGAGAGGAGATTTGTAGGCAAAGCAGCATATTTCAAACAAAAATTGGATAAAGAAAAGACAGAGCTTTTCCAGATTGCCTCAGGAAGGAGATTGAAGGCATGCCTTTATATTATTGTGGTATTTGAGTAAAGATGGAACACTATGCTGAAGAGGACAGTTTTCAAGGAGTATCTTAAAAGAGGAACTGTAGACTGCCTGTTGGACATTAAACGGAGTGTTATTCCAGGCAGAAAGGCAGCATGGAAGAAGGGTCAAAGATTAAAGCAGGCAAAGGGATCAGCTCCATCAAGAAGCTGTGGCAAATGTGAGAAAATAGGAATAGCCACAATATAAATTCAGACACAAATATAAAGTACAGAATCTTGTTGCAAGTGCCAAGACAAAGATGATCCCTATAGACCCATGAACATGCTGAACAGCAGAGATATAGAGTGAAGTTGTAGTACTGAAAGACACTCGAGTGAAGACTGAAGTCTCAACAAAGAAGAGTAAATTCTGGAGAATCTCCCATAGCTTTAGAGTCACTCTGAAGTTAAGGATGAGATTGATAATTGCAGTCAGTAGAGGAAATGCTAGCAATTTAGAAAGAAGCAGTATTTTACATCAGACTTTGCATTCAGAGCAAAATATGAATTTTTTTTAAGAAGATAGTCCTTCATATTAATAAAATTTCTATCTATATTTTCCATTAACTTGAATTCAAAAAAGCCAAACACGTTAAAAAGCAAAGACATCCTTTCCAAAATATTTCAGTACAGTTTGATTAGCGCTCTTCAGTTGATATGACCCGGTGCAATTTAGTTAAATTAATTGAGATTACAAGTATTTCTATTACTCAGGAATCTCACTGTAATTTTGATTTTGACTTTAGATACACTAGTATAAAACTGTAAGTTTTCAATTCAAATAGTAGGAGCTATAGCAGGACAGAGCCAATGCAAGTTTAGTAAGAACCGTATCTTAAGTCGCAGCTTTCCTTCTCTACTAATTCACCAATTGCTAGGTCCTTTGTTGCCAGGTAGCAAGAGTTGTGCTTAGAACACTGTCCAGCGATAACTTCTAATATTCAAGAAAACATGCCATGTTTTACATTACCATGTTAAAGACGTGATCTTTACATCACTCCACCACACTTGAGCAGGTACAAATTGGAAAGAATCAGTGTTCCTATCTAAAGTTGTCAGCAGCAAATTATACATAAGCTCAAGTTTTAGACGGCTGCCAGTAAATAATTCTGAACCTCTCTTTCTCCTTCTGACACAGAGGAGTGGAAGCAGAACCATGCACCCCAAATTTTTATTCATCATCGTGATATTCCTCTGCAAGAAGGAAAAAAAAAAAAAAAGAAGGAAACAAAGAAAAAAGGAAACAAAGAAAAAAGAAAGGTGTTTGGGAAAAATAGATCTGGAACAGTGTTTCTTACGTTTACCTCCTGATTCCTCAAAGTACATAGTGCTGCTCAGCACAGATGATATGGGGAGAGTAGGACTCAGATTTACTGCAATCTGCAAGAGGGGAAAACAAATCCAAATGCATAGTGTACAAACAAAGTACCAGCTTTTGTAGATCAGGAGGGATAAATTGAGAGCGAGATGGCTGAAAGGAATGAAGATTATCAACCACTGTTGTCAGGAAGGCAACTTAAGGAAGAGCAACAATTGCACTGATGTGGTCAGAGGTCAGTGTTACCTGTAAATTACTTGTTGGACATCCCAATAAAAGTGAGCTCAGTACAGTTTCCAGAAAGCCCCACTCTTTTTACTTCAAAAGAAACAAGTTTGATTGCCAAAACTGAGAATCTGAAATTATTCTCCTGTTAGGTACTGTGTCTCTAATTTGGCCATTGTCTTACAGATCAGTGCCTTTACAGTTCCCAGCTTTCCTTTTTTCCCTCCCATTAGAATCAGTCTGCAATAATGAACCATAGAGCCAAATGAATAAATTCCTACTCTGCACATTCAAAGTATGTTTCTCCTGTTCCTACAGTTTAGTACACTTTTTATTACTTTTCACAGAAAGAATTCTTATGTCTTGGTTCTGCCAAATCCCCAGTTATGGGGTATCATTTTCAACATAACAGTGATGAGGTGTGGCCAAAGTCAACCTAAAGCTGCAAGCTCTGAACGATTTGGACACTTCAATAAACTGAATGATGCTGCTGGTTGCTCAAGCTACAGGAAACACATCCCCAAAAGAGTTCAGTTTGAAACCTGAAGGATCTCTTCAGATATTTTCAAAGTCTGGGTTACAAAGATTACTCTCAGGAATAGGATAAAGAAAAAACAGGCTTTGATTGTACACCGCATCTCTAAAATTTACAGTAAATGTATAGGATAAGCATTGTCAGCTCATCCTTTTCTTAAAATGGCCTCCCATAGTCAAATTACAGTGAATGTTTCTCTTGATAATGAGCTGCAAGATGTTCTGAGACACAGGTGTAGGAGGGCAAGAGGCAAAGACATATAACACTTTCTTGACTGACAAGTCCTAGAGTATCATAGAACCTTCCACAAAAATGTAAGGAAGACCATGATCACATCTGTTGTATCGGCATTTAAAAAATCCCCAGTCTCTGTTAGAAGAAAATGACTGAAGATGGATAAGGATTATCTTTGGATGAACCCGTACCTCCTCAAACTTAAACTTAAGCTATTGCTGTGCGTAGTGGAAGATCCCATTTCAGCATCTAGACACAAGCGTTAGAAATTGCAAACAAGAGCACATCCCTTCTGCTAAATCCTTTTGGGTTTGGGGTGTAGGTTTTTTGTTTTGTTTAAGAAATAAAAAAAGAGACAGTATCCATTTATCTTTCATTTTTTCCCCAATGGAAAAACATTTTGACAAAAGCAAGTATTTATGCAAAGTATTCTTTCATGAATGTGAGAGTTAGTAAGCATCTGCAAATCATTACACCAGATTCCTCAAAAGCTCACAACGAGACCTGTGCTACCATACTTTGCCCAGCAATAACTTATCTCAGTTATTTGGTAAATTTTAAACCAGTTAAAAAAAAAAAAAAAAGAAAAGAAGAGAGAAAAAAAGAAAAGAGAGAGTGAGCAAGGACCCAAAGAGGAGACAGTGAGTAAACTCAGCATCTATCTCCCATATGGACTTGGTCAAGTAACTATAAGTTAACACAGGAGCACAAGTGTTGTCAGGGCTGTGAGTTACCACTGCTTTTTGCTGAGCATCTGAGGTTACTCTCACCTCTCTCCAAGATATGCAAGAATGTCAAATTAATTCAGGAAGGATGCTCCATTTCAGCTAATTACTAGAGTGCCAGCTGGATGGAGCAGTGCACATAGAGGGGTGTACCTGCCAATGCCACATGTAGGTAAACAGAAGAGAATAGACCAGACTATTTCAGTTGGAAGTGACCTACAATGATCATCTAGTCCAACTGCCTGACCAATTCAGAGCTGACCAAAACTTAAAGCACATTAAGGGCATTGTCCAAACGTCTCATAAACACTGCCAGGCTTGGGGCATCGACCACATCTCTAGGAAGCCTGTTCCAGTGTTTGACCACCCTCTCAGTAAAGAAACAATTCCTCATGTCCAGTCTAAACCTCCCCTTTGGTGCAGCTTTGAACCATTCCCACACATCCTATCACTCTGGATACCAGGGGAAGAGCTCAGCATCTCCATCTCTATTTCCTCTCCCCAGGAAGCTGTAGAGAGCAATGAGGTCTTTCAGCCCTTTCACCAGCTTTGTTACTCTTCTGTGGACACATTCAAGGACCTTCACATCCTTCTTGAATTGTGGGGCCCAGAACTTCACAGAGGATTCAAGATGAGGCCACACCAATGCTGAATACAGTGGGATAATCACCCTTTTTGACCAGCTGGTTATACTGTGTCTGATGCACCCTAGGATGTGGTTTGCCATCTTGGCTGCCAGGACCACGCGAAGATGTCCTGCATCCCAGTCTCAGGTCTGAGTCACAGTCAGCAAATCCCATAGCGCATTCAGTTCTAACAACAAACATAGGCAGCTACTGTTCCTGAGCACAGACTCCCCTATTCACTTTTACAGTCATAGCTCGTCGTAGCCCCAAATCCACTGATGCATTAGCTGAGAAGGAGGCAGGAGATAAAGGCTGACAGAAACTAGGACCCAGGGCCTGTTGGCCCAATGCCACCCTTATCATTTCACCTAAGAATGAATAGTAAGTGGGTGAGGTTACCCCAAAGTTTAGAAGCTACAGCTTCATACTCAGCAACAGATTCTATTATATCTCTTTGTAAAGGTGCTCACTTCACTAGGAAGAGGAACATTGTAACAGCAGCCAGCAGTATCCACAATAAAAGCCTGTCAATGATCTACTGACCTACCTCAAGCCTCTGAGACTGAGTTTCCCTTCTGTGTTCAGAATGGGAGATATATGAGCTAACAATTGCTAAGTGGTGACAATTCACAAGTCGATTGCTAAGTGGCGTGGCAATTGAAGTGCCTCCACTGTCCATTATTTAATCCACAACTCTTTTAATACTAAATTAAGGGCTTTAAAATCAGGACAGAGGCTCCTGGAACTCTGTGGCTTCGGCTTCTAGGGCAAACCAAATAACTACCATCCCAGAAACACCATCGGGTTAGAGTACGAACAGGTTAACAGCTTTTATTTAACATATCAAACCCTCATTTCAAGGCAAAAATATAGAAGATTTTAAGGTAGCATTAACAACAAGCAATCAGGTCTTAAAAAAAAAAATATATATATATGCTAATAATCTATTTGAGGAAGTGCCCTTCCTGAAACAAAATGAGAAATAATGCCTTTTTACTACCTAGCAAGTTTGCAGTACATGCACTGTAAAAATCACTCCCTGCAGAGATTCATCATACTGGGTATTTCTGGCAAAATATCCTCCTCATACCTGGAATCTTGTTCTTTCTGCAGCATAGACTTGATAATGAAGCATGGCTTGCAAGACTTTTTTGTGACCATCTGGTACCAAGCAGACAGCCCCTAGGATCTCCAGCACAGCAATCTTGGTCTTAATGTTCTCAGTCCGTAAGCTCTGGGAGATGATGTTGATGCTCTCTGGATGAGCCAGGACATGAGCCCGTCCTTGGGAGTTGTTCATCAGTGCCTTGATACACCCTATAACGGATGTGTGTATACGGCTCTCTGAGGTCTCATAGTCCATGCTCTTCAGGAAGTTCAGCAAACAGCTCAGGCCATCCAGCTCAATAAACCTGGTCACAAACCTGGCAGGGGCGGGGAATAGATATGAAAAATAAGGAAAGCAGACCAAAGGCAGTTTATTCAAAAGACACCATATTATTCAACCCTGCATCTGTAAAAGCTGGCTAGTTTTTAGCCTAAAGTTCACAGAAGAATTCCCAGGTAATTAAGAAAAACAAACCAAACCAAATCAAACAAAACAGAGAAAACAGACTAGCTAATAATGATGTGTCACATAGTTTCAGGGTAAATATATTCTATCACCTTATGACCCTACCGTTAGGTTGCTGTGTTCTTTGTTGCAGTCACCACCAACTACCTGCTGTGGCCCACTCCAATAGTTGCTGCATTTTTAAGGCTAAACAGATTCTTTCAAATTGCTACGTCTTACATACATGCCAATACACACAAGATACATTTTCATACAGACTCATCACCACACTTACGGGTTCAGCTTATCTTGAAAACCATTTTTAGACTTAGGTCAAACTTTTAGCCAATACTACTTATAGGCTTCCACCTCCAGGAGTGGGTACACTGACAGGGGCAAACTCATTACCGCTCATTACAGTCTCTGAGCTGTACTGACTTCACACTCTGATCCTGTGATATACATATAGGAACATATAAAGTTAAAGTTTAAAAGGTATGTGTTCTTTAGTAAAAGAGAAAGCTCCTAAAATGGCCTTTGCTGCATTTTTTGTTTGATTGTTTGTTTTGAGTTTGAGGAGGTATATTAAGGATGGAAAAGGTCCACTATCAACCTGCAGTAGCAAAATGTACAGTAAAAACATCATAAATAGAGGAAATACAGAATTAATCAGTTACCAGATGACAGACTGAAGACTGAACCTATAGTAGGACAGGTTTATTTTGATTATTGACATTGTTAGAGATCTGTTTCCACTGTATTCTACCACAAAATTTGCCATAAGATTATGGAAACTGAGGATGAAAACAGTATACGTGAAAGTCCTTGGAAAAGTTTAAAGTTTCATTAAAAACTAAGGTTAAAAAATCCAGATGGGTCAAATTAGACCACGCAGACAGCCTCCTAGACAAATCAATAGAAATGAATGGAATTATTTAAGTCAGTTCAAACCAATAATTCTAGCAATGCTTCATTTGAGTTCCCAGGCTTAAAAATGGGGATTCGAACATAGGAAAAGGGCTGCAAATGATTTCTTGAGAACACTTTGCCTCCTGCCTCCTCTAACAGGTTGTTCAGGTAGGTGCACTTTTTTAGAATGTCTGAATGCAAAACCATGTGAAGTACATTTGAATTTTCAGTCTACCAAAACGTACACCAACAATAACATGTCCATGACCACACTCTAAACAGCATAATGTAGAAAGACACCTGAAACGAATGAAAAGGTTGTTAACTGCCACCTGTGAAACAAATTAAGAATACCAAAAGTCCGTATCATTTTGCCTTAACCTAACCCCTCTTCCTCCCTGTTGGATACTCCCTATTGTGCTGTCTTTCTCTTTTCTGCCCTTATATGAGATGCTGCTCCTAATATGCATCAGTAATGGAAGCACCATACTGAAAGACTGAATTTTACTGTTCATGTCTCTGCACCAGGAAGACAAACCTGAGTCATACTTATGTATCTCCTGGATAATATGGACTTGACATATAGTGGTTACACCCCACACTACACAGGAATTTTCAGGGCCTACCTGAAAGTTATGCTCACTATGCTGATAGATTGGCCAACTTGCAGCTTCTTTGAGCCAGCAGTTTAACCAGAAACATGGCAAAGCCTGGTGCTTTCAATGAAGTTTCAGTCTGAGGTTTGGGTTTTGTTCAAAACTGAATTTTAAAGTGAATATCAGAGTAAGGGCAAGCACATACAGGAACACACGTGCACCAAAAATGAAAACAAGGTTTAGTTGAACCCTGCTAAGACATTCTGCCAAGTTGCACACAGGTCTGAGTGCACATTCTTCGGAGACATCATCTTGTCTACCCTAACAAATCGTAGGGGCAAAAACCTCTCTGCCTCCAGGTGAGAGAGTGGGATCAACATTGTGCACCACAAATTTGGTAAGTCACTCAAAGCAGTTTATTATTTAAACTGATTATAGAAAGATTAAAACTTATTTCAGTTTTTGCAATGCACTTAGCTGCTAGCATGCCAAAGACGACTGAAATAAATGCCTTCGTGGCTAAAAGAATTGCTGCCAAGGATGTATTTGGAACCACAATAAGCACAAACTCAACTTGCACCACACAATGTGATGCCAATGACTTCCAAGCATTTCTCTAACCCTAGGCCTAAAGAGCAGAGTTGCTCCTTGCCTCTACTATGGAGGGACTAGTCTAAAATCTCCTTCTCGCCTCCAAAGTTCAGTTCTATGAATCCATCCTATACCTTAGTTATTCCCTCCATCTTTTAGGGGAGGAAAAAAAAAGCTGATGTTTTGCCGTTCTTTTCAGTTTTGGGGCTGAGGGAAGACTTAAGATGGACACCCTTCTGAAGGTACCGAGCTCTACTGACAAAAGAAAACATCCTGAAGAAGCAGCTGAGCAAAGGGTCCCTTGAATGTACTTTTGGATGGAACACCTGGTCTTATGGGAAGACATACAAGGCAATACAACCTTCATGTATTTTAGCCTCTGATGACCTTACGTTATGGGGAAAGGAAAAAAAAAAAGCTAAATGCACAGGAGTCACATTGTCCCAATTAAGTACAATCCCTTAGTAAATTCACTGGCAGAGCAATTTTTCTAGAACTGTTTGTATGAGATCATTCCAAAAAGGACACATGCGCAGGAAAGTGGTGTGTGCCACAGACCTTGATTAATGACATAATTTAAAACAATGTCGGGATTTTCCTGTACTCTTCCCAGTCCAGAGAGCAAACAGTAAGCTGCATTACCCATAGGAAGCAAAACCAAGTACCTTCCCATTTCAGCTGACATCAGAAGCAGGAATCAAATTATGATTTTCACCTTCCTTTTCCAAAACACTTAGTTCACTATTCTCCGGAAAAGCCAGAAATCATGCAAGAGGAAGATAAACAAAAGGCGATAGCAGTTTCTGAGCCAACAGACACTCTCAGTATGAGGATTTGCTCGGTGTGAGCATGTATACGGGGAGGTATGTACCTAAACATCTGTACAGGAGAGAAAAAGAAGTGGGAGTTTGGCTGACAGGCTGAGCACCATAATCCTCACACTGTTTGGTGTTTGTGCATCTGTATGTCTGTAAGCAGGGATGTGTACGTGTGCGCGCAAAGGCAAACCCAACTCATACCAATGAAGTACCTTCTTCCCCACAATATACACCTATGTAACTGACTGCCATCCTATACATCTTGTATGCTGCAGAATAAGGTCTTGTTCTAGACTGAAAGGTGTAAATTTAAGCATATTTGCCAATGCTAACACATTCAAAAACTCAAGTGTAAATAAAGCAGGGTGTGTTTTAATAGGTGCTAAACAAGCAAATTAAAGCCTAACCTCACCTCAGACTCTCACTTGACCAGTTTAGCACACTTTAAAAGGCAGGGCGCCTCTTAGTCTTTCAAGTTTTAGAGAGTGCTGATCAGAATGAGTTAGCTAGCTCTAATAACAAACCTTTCATCCAAATACAGATGCGGTGCTGCCTAAGATGTAATGACCCACTGATGGATTCCAAGTGTAGTGGGGGGACAGCCTCCCTGTGAGACTTGATCCAGCTCAGGAAAGACAGAAAGATCATATGACGTGGTGTGCAGAGAGCAGGATGTTCCCACCCGGTTAACAGCCAAGGCTACACTTCCCTGCAGCATCAGTTTTTGAAACAGGAGGCACACGTAATCCTGACAGCTACTGAACTGCTGAAAAATTCAGTGTAATGGGTTTTGCTTGCTGGACACATAAATTATCATCTCCAGTATGCACTTGAATGCAACATGGTTAAATCAAACAAAAATAACAGGAGGTAAATCTGAGTTAAACAAAAGGAGAAAAGCAGACAGCAAAGGGAGTTAGTGATGATTCAGACTAAAGGAGGTATTTTTCTGGGGTTCCAAAAAATATTTTTTTTATCTTAGTCCCTTGTAAGTTTTTACTTTTGCTGCACTTCCGAACCCCCATTCTTGGGCACTAAAATACCAAAAGAAAAGCTCTTCTCTTGCTGCTTCTGTCCAATAGTTTGTCATCACACTTGCTTATAGTCATAAGTTCTTACAAACCTAAAAGAAAATGTGTTCCTTTACAAGATGCAGATGTGGGGTTTTTGTTCTCTAAGGCTGGGGTTGTTCCTGCGTGCTAGGACACAACCTGGCTTTATTATTTCAGGGCAGCTCCTAAACACAGAAAAAAAATGCACTTGCTCAAAGGCGGCCAGCTAGCTGCCCAGGGATGCTTCTATCACCTTTTCTCCAAAGAGGAGAGAAACTTGAGTCTGGGTAGGTCTGCTTCAGTTTTTGCGGCTGTTAGAACTGGTGGGTTGGAATCGAGGCATGGATTAGTACCAGTACTCTGCATTTTCTACTAGAAGAGACACAGTTCTACAGTAAAATAAAACTCAGAGCCAAACAAATGCATTTTTCTTCTTTTGATTCCTCTAGATCAGAGAATTCAAGCAGAAGAGCTTCTTGGTAAGCTGTCAGAGCCCCTGTGTACCCTACCATCACAAATGGATCCCAGACAGTTCATCCTGTGTGAATTTAGGTCTCTATTTTTTTCAGAGGCCTGATGAACAGAAGAGGCAAGGAAAATAGGATTTGATGTCCAAATTCAACTAGAAAGACTAGTATTTTGAAGGCTTGAGTATCGTGCTGCTTATGAGAGGGATTTGATGGAGTCGAGGGCCTCTCTACTGCAACCTTTCCATCAAGAAGAAATTGGCTTGTTGATCAGGCATTGGCATTCAGCCCATTTGGCAGCTAACAAATTGAGTCGCTGGAAATTAGTTGAGACATAGGACTTAACTCAAAATTTGGCTTGGCTTAACTATTTAAAAAAAAAAAAAAGTCCCATAACCATCGCCAGCGATTTAGAAGAGAACACTTTATAGGGCGGCTCATAGATGCTTGTACTGAAGCTTGTTAGGGTTATTATAAACAGATGAAGCAACACGCTGTTGTCAAGGGGATCCAGCAGAAGCAATATAGGTCTGAGAAGGAAAACCTTGTAAGGCTTTGAGGAAAAGACATTTCTCTCTCTTCTTCCCTATTACCTTGCTTTCAACAAGGAGGCTGGTCTGTCCTATTCAAAATGACAGGGCAGAATAACCAGCAGTGGCCACCAAAGGGTTTCAGCTGGACATAGCAGAGAGGCCTTTCTGCTGTGGCTATGCTCAATGAAAGCTATCACTTTCACAGAGGAAGCATCAAACCAGCTCCACATTAATGTAATAGAGTCGCTACATCAAGTCTCAACAGCACAGGACTTTGGTTTAAAATCTTTGTGAGAGTTGAGAGATTGGTAGTGTCTTAGCTTCCATTTGAACACAAAGTCCAGCTGCATTTTACTTTATGCCTCAGAGGAGCATCAGAATCTGGCTTTGTGCTGTCTTACAGCCCATCACAACAGGAGGTAAAACACTGAAGTTTAAGCTGATGTGCTCTACCTCGTAGATGCCGTGAGGTGAGAAGCTGCCTGCAGTCAACTTTTTAAACATAATGAAGGGGAGAACAATCACCACTTAGCTCTGCAAGACGACCCAGAAATATCTTCAAGTCAATGTAACTTTAATGCAAATTTTTTAAGATAATTTTTTTTAGTTGTTTCTATTTATTTGGTTTGGTTTGGATCTCCCCTAAAAATACCCTGTTTGATTAGGCATTATTGAAGCTCTCTGAAACTATGATTTCAGCATAATGTGCATGCAAACACCTTTGGCCTACTTTGGCCCCAGTACAAAGACATTCAGAAACTTTTTGACCAAGTGTTTCCTGAGATCATATCAACTATAGTTATTGCTTCTGCATAATGCTCTTCAAAGTGTAAAATGGAAAAGGTTTCTGTGCTAGTTAGTTTGCTATTGTTCAGAGCATTGTTCCCAGAAAAACAAAGATGACCTTACCTTCAAAGACACAGTACACAATAAAGTCTCTTAATATTTCTCTATGCCACAGTTACACATAGAACAGGAAGAATGCCAAGCCAGGTGATGTCAGATGGATTAGCTGCTTTGTACCAAACAGTTCACATTACTAAAGATAAGGGGAAGCCTGAATTCAAAGTTCAGAGCAGAGGCTGAGATTTTGCCCAACATGAATCAAATTACATGGGATGTTCAGGGGGATCTGAAGTCAAGAATCTGATCTTCATAGTCATTACCTGTGTTTGCATATATCTGCCACAGGTTTTTCATAGCAGACTTTGCCTTTTATTTTCCTGAAGCTACATGCTTCAGCATTAGCGTGCCCTCTCAACTAGGCAGGTTCAGACCAGGAACTGTGGGGCACTCTGTGGATTGTTTGAAATATCAGAGAGGCTTGTGTGAGGTGAGACAATGAGGTTTCTGTTCTTGCCACTCGTTCCCGTGTCACATCTGACCAAAAGGAGGCGGTGAATTGTGATGAAAGACGAACAACATTACCTCATGGGCTGAGTCCGCAGAGCTGTCTTCAAGTCTTCAACTATTTTATTTTTCATTTCTGTTTCTTCTTCATCGAAAGCATACAGAGTCTGCATCTGTTCAGAAAAGAAGACAACCATCAGGAAAGCTCGGGGTGCCTGGAAGCTAAGAGACAGGCAGGGAATTATGAAAACCAACTATCCCATCAACCCACGCAGAGGTGCCTGCCGACCTCTCACCAGGAAAGCAGCGCCTCAGCTACAAAACTGAATCCAGATGAGGCTGCTCAAGCGGACTGGCAGCAGCATACCACTTTGCCACACTGGCTAAACTAGGGTTCTCAGATTACCCCCCAAAAATCATACTTGCCAGTATGGCCTCAGAAAACTGTACCTAATTTGGAACAGTGATCTGCTGTGGTGATCTATGGATATGTGAGGCAAAGTTTGAAAGGGAGAGGTAATATCTTTTATTAGACTGACATAGCTGGAGGGATTGGGGGGGAGGAAGAAAAAAAACCCTGACTTGTGTGTCAGGTTTCAAAGCATAAAAGCTTTTTCTTCAAGTGACTAAACAGCCTGCAAGTATCCTGAATTACAATTAGTGTACATACAAGTTTGACTTTTATTCCCCACACCAAGTATATTACCTGTTTTAAGATACTGACTTTCCCTATACACTTTGCCCTTGCTAATTAGGAACATTTACTGCTGAAAGCTGGAGCATCAAAAAAATCCCTGTCCCTGTTTTTTAACAAGTAAGCCAAAGCACACAGAGACTAGGTTTTCCCCCAGTACGCAGCCTGAGATAACTAGAGCTTGCAGGCAACTGGAAGTGGAGATGCTGTGGGTCACTGTAAATTATGGTGAGAATACATGCAAAAAGTAAGGTTCTCAGAGTCAGGCAACGCCATTAAAATAAGTGGTATATCAGGAAATGAGGGCTCCAGGACTCAGCCTCACTGCAACCTTGTGATGTGAAGCAACACTCTGCAGCACCCATCGCATATACCATCAGGCTCACAACTTCAATGCGTGACTTTTTAAAAAATCAAGACTCAATGCTGGAAATTCTTAGCCTATAGCTGTCATCTTAGTCACTTTAATTGTCGAGAGGACAAATGCCTCTCTTATTGGCAGGACTTCTGGGGGATATCACTCAGTGGTATCTGGAAAGCAGCTCTGAATCCTTTCTCAAATGAATAGCCCGATTAAACTAGTATCACCTATCAGGGTTCTGATATTGTACCTCTCTGTGGTGAAATCTGAGTAGCTACAGTTGTGGCCCATTACAGCAAAAGATTTAAGTCTTTATTTTACTATTTAGCAAGCACCAAAGAAAACCTTCCTTTCACTGGAACTTCCTTTAACACCCCCCCACCCCCCAATACCTCACTTCCCTTGGAAGTGCTCCTACGTTGCTTGCTTTTGCAAACCATGTGGTGCCAACACATGTCAGATCCTGAGGGTGGTCATTTGGCTACACGCCGTTGCTGTCTTATGCTGAACAGCTGGCATAGGGAGATGTGTTTAACTCTGGGGGTCCTCTCTCTGATCCACGCTAAAGTCAAATTCACTCAGTAACAGAGCAAGCTATTTCCTGCCCTAATGGAATGACAGAGCGCTACTGATGGAAAATGAGCTGATGATGTTTTATCTTTTGCCAGCATCCCCCGACAGCCAGAAACATAAATTGAAATGCTTAAGCCAAGCCATATATGATCCCCCTCTTTGAAAAATAAACAGAAATCCTGAACAGGCATTATGGAATCTCAATGGCAGAGTCCTGGGGTGTGATTTGGGGCTTGATTTGTATTTTCTTGGGTGACAGCCCATCTGGTCATCTTTCCTTTGGCCCATAAATGCTCCTTTGAAAGGCTCCCATTCCTCCAACAGCTTAAGTTCTCCTCTGAGCCATTGTGGAGGGAAAGCAAATGGATGGTAGGAAGGTGCTCAACAGTATTTTGTTCAGACTGAAAAAGGCCCATTTCCAAATGAAACAAAAACAAATAATCCTGCCTTTACAACAGAGGGTGATTACAGAAAACCCCTTTTCTAAAGCTGCAGGCAGCCAAGAGCCCTTCATTTCTCACTCCTGTGCATGGCCAGGAACTCAAATCCTCATGCCCTCTCCGAAGACAGACCGGTCACGCGTTTGCATTATGAAATAGCTTTCTCGGCAAGAGTTACAGAAAACATAGCTGTCCCTGGGAGACAGAGGGGAGGGAACTGTCATTATCTGAGGCTGGATTTCATTAATGTGGCTGACTGATGAATTGCTTTCCTGAACTACGAACTGTACTCGAGGACTAACGTCTGCTGTGCTGAGGACTCAGCTAGTTACTAGTAGTTAACCAAACATACTAGGAAAAGGAAGCAAAATAGTGCCAGGTCCTTACCTGGTCCCTAAAAAGTGGCTCTTTTTTTTTACAAGCACATTTTGGATATTTAAAGTTTTCCAGATTCAGTGCATCACCCAGGAAAGTATAGCATCTAGTTACTTGATTTGCCAATTCGAAAAAAATCACAAATTTGTGAAAACAATCATTCACATGGAATTTTATGTGTAAAAAGTCAGGTAGTCTAAGAAATTACTTTTGAAAATCTGGCTTCATTTAAAATGAAATATTTTAGGTTTATTAAAAGCACAGATTAATTCCCACACCTTATCCTAATGGCTAATCATTCCCCTAAACTGCTGAGAAAGAAAATACAGGACCATAATGACAGTATGTATGAGAAAGAGAGAGAAAAAATGAACAAAGTAAAAAAAGGGCATGAGCTAGCATCAGCAATATGCTGTATGATGGACCTAGTTTTACTTAACAGTCTTGCACACATGAAATGAAAAAAGAAGCAAATAGAATAAACAGTGAAACAGTAACCTGGATGTTCTGATTTCTCATTATAGTCAAAGCTCGCTCTTTAGATCTTGTCTAAAATCATAACTAATGTTATCATTATTGAAATCACTTCCATTTCATAAACAAATAGAACTAAAATTAAAATCCAAATTTGATTAAAAAAACATTGTATTACATGCCTCCTATGACATACCTGGACAATACTACATTAAAACTTTTCTTCAAACAAGCCAGTTGAAATTCAAGGTGCACCAATTCTTTAACTACATTAAGGCTGAACTAAGAGAATAAATGATGAATCATAAAATAGGAATAGATGTAATTTTAAAAAAACCAAACTTTTAAGCAAATAAGTTTAAAGTAACATAGATATCCCCTAACCCAGATGGAGGAGAGAGTTATCATCCACCTGCTAAATTCTGCTGAAAGATACACGTTTTTAACACCCTGTGAAGCTGCTCTGCCCTGAACAAATGCTTTCCAAGTCAAGGAAAAGGGCCTGCTTACAGCTGTATTTATTAATCTTGACCCCTGTCTCATACTCTTGACCGAGCCATCTCTCCAGAAAAGCTGGATCTGCAACTACTGTTCACCTGAAAGCCTCTCTGTAGAAATGCATACACAGCCAAGCTCATAAAAGCAACGCAGTGCTGTCAGAAGCTTCCCTCCCCAGTAAAGCGAGGGCCGTGTTTATTTGTGCTGCCAAGCAGACAGTATCATGGGGTGAGGAGGGCAGGAGCAGCACAGGGAGGTTTCTTTACACGTGATATTAACCCGGCAGCTGCTGCATTTTTAAGAAAAGAAGTTTTGTGCGTTGATGAATCAGCAGAAGATGACAATGACCTTGATAATGGAAATTGTGGGCATGCAACCTGTCCACAATCACCAGTAATCTTTACAGCACACAGACGTCAGAGGACCGGGCAAATTTGGAGGCGCCTCTTTCTAAATTAGACATCATTAGCAGCCGTCCCTTTCTTTTACGGATTGATCTAGAAGATCAATGATCTACTTGGTCCGTTCCCTTCAGTCAGGCTACCTGAAGGAATTCTTCCACTGGAATTGCCTGCCACAGACCAGTAAAGATATCCAGTTTTACTGTCAGATGTTCTTGTGAGAATTGGGTTTAAAAATTATTAAAATCTAAAAAGTGACAACAACAAAAACAATTGTGGGAACAGAACTGTGCCTGAAATGCCTGGCTTTTTGAACTGGGTCAGGAATCTGTGACCTAAAGTGCTTCCTAACATAGTGGTATAAGGTTACAAGTAGGGAATGTCAAACATGTCAGGAATCACCACATTGCTCTCAAGCATAATCTGAGAGGGACAGATATGATGGGTAACACTGCAGCGGGTCTTTCTCAGATGATGATCCTTGAGCACAGGGGCCTTGGGCTGCTGAAATCCACAGAAAGATACTTAATGATATTAGCAGGATAAAGGCGTCATTTTCATTTTATCAGTGGGTAGGGACAACTTTTTTGCTAAGCTAACATATAAAAAAGGACTTCAAAATTAAATAAAAGGATAGAGAAAAATATGTGAGAGCCGCATGTAAAAAGATTCTCATGCAGTTAATTCACAGGAGATGCAAAGATTAAATTTTATTTAAAAAAACAGGACTTAAGGCATTTTAAACTAACACTTGTGTGATTATTGCTACCATTTCAACTCTAATACTTCTTGCAGTATTTCTAATTAAAATATTGCAGTACCTGATAGTGCCCAAGAGACGCAAACTGAAATAGACTAGACAGTGTCAGGAAGGAACTCGAAACATGTTTTTCTTTCACCACTTCTGAGCCAACTCCACTTGGATGCAGTTTGAAAAAAAAAAATAAAAAAACCCCACCACTAAATTTAGGACTGAAATTATAAAGGGACCCAAAATAACCATTTGGAAGTCGGGAATCTCAGAGGTCTTTTAAAGTGTGTTGGAGCTGGTTCTCAGCTGTATTACTGCAGTTTTCCGCTGATACAATTCCTGTGAAATCAAGTCAACTAAGTTTCACCTGCCTAAAAGCGAAGTGGTGAATCAGAAGCAGGGGTTTTAACCCCAGTGTGTCTTCTTAACACTTCAAGCATAAATCACGAGGCTTGAAGCCAAATAAATGGTTAGCAATCATTCAGTGCTGAGGCATGCAAACAACATTACTGGGGCTGGTGTTTATTGGTGCTCTTAAAACATGTTTAAAATTAGAAACATAGGCCAAAATACAGTTTCATTCCATGGAACTGCTCCAGATTTACAATAGTGGCATGTACATACTCACTCCAGGTTTATATCAAGATCATTTAAAGACTAAACCAAAGTCACTGAAATCAATGGAAAAACTTTCAGTAGATTCAAGAGGCCTTGGATCAAATCCTACCAGAAGTATTTGGCTCAGTGACATTGCAAGGTTTCATACTTTTTTTCTTTTTTTCCCCTTAATAGCCCTTGTAGAGCAAATTTGTTCAGTCAGGAAATCAAAGCACAGTACCATGCCAGTCACAAAAGCTCAATCTCTTTTCTCAAAACAAGTCTATATTCTTTATATTCCATTACTCTGCCCCAAGAAAATCTGGCATGAAGGAAGGTGATCATTTTGGTTATTCATGACTCACAGTAGAAAGCAGCTTTTCTTTTATCCTCTTACAGTGAGTTATAACAACTTGTAAATCTTGATTTTTTTTTTTACAGAGCAAGACATATTTCACCATGAGAAACGCATCAGTGTTGACACATTTAGCATCCATTAAGGAATTATTTTTATGAAATTATTTTATAGCTCATAACCACAATACAAAAGGTGCAGAGAAGCCTTTTGAAATCAAACATAAAAGCATAAGGAAACAAACAAGGTGTGCTACCTAAGATGCTAGGAACAGAATTCTATAATTGCTTCTCCACAACTGCCAAAAAAAGCTGAGTATTCATTTCACATGAATAACTGGAGGCAAAATTTCACTATAAAAATCAGTGAAAGGATCAAATTTCAAAATATAAGATGTACTATATCAAAGGAGATCTGTGGACACTATATGCAGGTGTTCTGCTTCTGCTGGTGACCAGCTCTACCAGATGCTTCAGAGGAAGAGGCATATCACGCAACTATTGAACAAGCACAATTAAAGAAAGTTTTCCTCAAATATCTTGTTGGCTTGTGTTTGATGTCTAAGGTGTTACAGCCTTATGTTCCTCTACTTATCTGCTCTTATAGAAGTGGATATTATCTTACATAAACAACTACCTTTTCTTTAATTCTTCTACTAAAATAATAACCCTAGAATTATTTTGTAGATTAGTCTGAAATCAATTTGAAAACAGCACAAAATCCCCGAACTTTACCTAGTTTTCAAATAGTTGCTTTTCTGATTCATCAAATATTCTCTGGTTCTTCTATTCTGAAGGGATAAATAGGGACCTTGGTTCCCTCCTGTCCATGATTTCATATAATCTTCACTTACAGGCTGCACTTAAGTGTCCTTTTGAAGAACCAAATTATTTCACCTCTACTTGGCCCAAATGACACACAGGTCTCCAAAAATGCTAGCTGCAGTTAAAAGTATAGTTCAGGAAAAAGATGCTTTCAATTGTCACTGTGTCAGACTGGCTACCCCTGCCAAGACACAAGTGCAAGTGTGTGCATGTGCTGAAAGCTAGCTTTACATTAACATTCCTCAAAATTTCCAAAACAGGGGTCATAGCTGAACTACCTTTGTGCTCCAACAACACTCAAGAGCATGACAATATTTAAGATCATTACGATTGACTGCAGTTTAAAGCCAGCTGAATTGCACAGGAATTCAAAAAAGGCACACAGCCATTTTTGTCCCTTATTTTCAGGACCAGCGCCAATAAGCAGAAATCTAAGGATCAGGGCCATACATTGGGACAGGCTTCACAACTGGCATGTAAATAACGTTAAATCATTGATCTCATTACTCTAGCTCTGAATTTTCATTCCAGAATCTAATTTGATTGCTTTCATTGCTCAGTATTGTAGAAATGAAAACTGGAAATGCTTATGGTGCTTTCTAATCTATTCTTCTGCTAGAACAGGATTCTTTCTTAATACATATACTTGTATACTTTCAGAAGTCCTGTTTTACATCAGTCATGCACTTGGGAAAACATTCTTCTCCTTTGGGGACTTCTTCCTAAAGAAACACATCTCTATGGTAGGAAATCTTCCCTGCTTTGCAGGAGAGGTAACTTACTGCTGCCATGGAATTGATACGGTCAATGTAGTAATCTGGCCAGCTGGTAGCAAGCTTGTTAGGATCTTCTTGTTCCTGAAACAAAAAGTTAAAAAAGGTTACACAAGAAGCCTTTACAGGATGAAATGTCACTGCAAACCCACCTGGGATTCTTCACTGCGCTGTACTTTATTGTGGTATCTCCCCCTGTATTCTTGTATAATGCACATAGATGTGTGGCATTTATTACAAACATTTCTGAAAGTGTAATGTTAGCAGGGTCACCATGGTGTGTCAGATAAAAAGAATCGCCTTCAGCTAAGGTTACTAAACACAGAATAATAAAGTTTGATGGAGACACAGCTACCTTTGGCATCTAAGCAGTAAATCTCAGTCCCTTAAACATACTATGTTTCCAAGTACAAGTGTAGCCCATTTACAGATAACAGGTTTACATTTTGTAGCTTTATATTGACAGATCTTATAAATTATTTTGCCTCTCTACTGCTAAAGCGACAGTGGGATTCACCAGGAAAGAGGTTTAACATCTGCTATAGAGAAAAAAACCTCAAGTCAAGAAACCTGAAAAGAAGCCAAAAGACTGTCTCATTTTGACGTGATAAGCCAAAAAGAGGTTTAGACTGGACATGAGGAATCATTACCGAGAGGGTGGTCAAACACTGGAACAGGCTTCCTAGGGAGGTGGTCGATGCCCCAAGCCTGGCAGTGTTTGAGAGGCATTTGGACAATGCCCTTAATAACGTGTTTTAGCTTGTGGTCAACCCTGAAGTGGTCAGACAGTTGAACTAGATGATCACTGTAGCTCCCTTCCAACTGAAATATTTGATTCTATTCTAAAAAAGTTAAGTACAATCTCAGAACATCCAAAGGAAAAGAACAGCATCCCCTCAATTACAATAGCACCAGTATTAATCCTTCTATCCCTACCTCCCAAATAATCCACCTGAAAGCATCTTCACTAGACTAAGCTCAACTTCTAAAAGACCTGCCCCTACAGAGGAACGAATTCTTTCTTGTTTCTTGGCTGCTCAGTGGAAATGAAATTTCATTCTAATGGGTCTATTTATTTCGAGATAGGTGTAACAATCACTAGCAAAACGAGGATTGGTTTCTCGGATCCTAATCTCCCATTATAAAGACTTCTAGCGTATCATAAGCGATTAAATCACTTGACTTATCGTACGGATGTCCAAAGATGTACGAAGACTCTGTGGATCTCATCAATGTTGTCTGTGTATGAATGCTTATTCATACTAGAAAAGTTATTCTGGAAGATATACGGAACAATGTTAAATGTGTAGGACTATCAGAGTACCTCAGCTATTCTACAACTCTTTGGTTTAGAGATGAGAAATAGCTCTACATGCTCCCTGCTGAGTCACATTCAGGAAATACCTTTCTACCTGACAAATTCCTGCCAGGCTACATACACATGGCAATAATTCTGCACAAATCGAAGTCTTCATATTTAGAATTAAAAACAAAATCACAGCTGAGACCTGGATCTTCCCTTCCCCTCTCTTTGTTCCACCGGTCTTTCAACACTAAAGGAATATCTTCATTCACGAGAACAATGAAACAGCTTTGTTCCCATCTAGCAAAGGACTGCAGTACAGACACATTCTAGACAGATCACCACTCTTTATTCAGCCCTTGCATCCAACCAAACAATTAAGAGTAGAAGGTTTAAATAAAGCATCATATAGTAGACTACCACTGTATGAAAAGTATGAGAAGCTGGCAAAGTGGGAAGAGATACCAATTACATCCACAGCTGCTATGCACCCACCACCTCACAATAATAAATGGTGCAATTAAGAATAAGGTGACCTTTCTCAAATTCAGTGAGAAGTTCCGCTGCTTTTCCTTACTTCCCTTTCCAGGCCATAATCAGCAGCAATCCAATGGACACGTGTTATTGGTAGACTGCCCTTCACTCTCCCTTTTCTGTGTAGAATACGTGGTGGCAATCATAACCCTGACAACAGTTTCACACTCTGCAGACCTTAACCTCCCGTGCAAAAGTCAAAATATGACCTTGCTGATGGAAAAATAAATGAAAACATACAATAGATAAATAGAGCATTATTTTTTATAAGATAATCTTATCCTCAAAGAGAACAATAGAAATGGAGACCTAATCCAGAGGTAGTGAAGTAAGGTCATTCTGCAGGGAAACAGGTTGAGCCACCAGTCTAAAGTGCAAGGTGTGCTCATATGCCCTTCTGAAATTTTTCTCTGCATAGAATTATGAAAGTGCAAGTGACAGCTATAATTATTTGCAGAGTACAAGTAACAAGAACATTGTCAGACCAGGGAATATGTATGTTCCCTGTACTTTTCCTACCTCCATTCTGAACTCCAAAAAGAGAAAAACACATGCAAATTAAGGACTGTTATATCCCAAAATAAGCTACGATACTTTTTCTCCTTAAAATTCTTCAGGGAAAAAAAAAACAAGTATAAATCCTGTACTGCCGCAACTAATCTTTCTGTATGTCTATTTTAGACAATGCAGACTGAAGAGCATCAGGATAGATAAACTAAAAAAACAGAATTTTGAATAATTTCCTACCTGAACCCAAACAGTTAGAAATTTCACAATCAGAACCAAGGTTAAGAAGACTTTGATGCCCTGAAGTATATCTGTATACATGGCTGGCTCAGCAAATGAAATAAGGTCCTAATCTTTCTGTATGTCTATTTTAGACAATGCAGACTGAAGAGCATCAGGATAGATAAACTAAAAAAACAGAATTTTGAATAATTTCCTACCTGAACCCAAACAGTTAGAAATTTCACAATCAGAACCAAGGTTAAGAAGACTTTGATGCCCTGAAGTATATCTGTATACATGGCTGGCTCAGCAAATGAAATAAGGTCCTTGGTGTTGCCTACTTTTGATCATTCTCCTGTCCCTACAAATTGGTCTGAACTCTGAGTTTCTTATGTTTTGGGTTTGTTTTTAATTAGAACTGGGAGAAAATTGGTTTCAGTAGAATACAGCAAGTGTAAGCTTTTTTCCCTGAACTAAAGCCCAGACTGAAGCTGTACATTGCTGAGGTTAAACTTTTAGCAGATACTCCACTATGTAATCCCCCCTTTCTGAAGTTGTTTTGGCCCAGAAGCATATTAAGCAGAAAAGTCCACCTAATTTCAGTCGTCCTCTACCCTCCTTGCTCAGACCAGAATTTTATGGATGTCAATGTGTGTTTTACTTCATTAGAATAAATGTGATTATGTACTTAAAACCTATTTCCATTATGAAGCCCTAGAAAGCTACTTATACTTGGGATGAACATACAGATTTTTATCCAGCCCCATGAAATCATTAGGTGGCACCGTGTTATTTATAGCAATCACCTGGGCAACATTTTCAAAAGAGAAAGTTCACACCTAAAGCATCAGAGCCATTGGGGGAAAAAAAAAAATTGCCTAAATTATGTGAGTTCTGCCCATGGTAAGAAATTTCTGTACCATGTTTCTTCTCAGAAAGGGGAAAGTCAAAAATGGAAAGCAATTCAGGGTGTGGGGTGTGTGTATGTGCGTGTGTGGGGGCAACAACAGGGTGTTGGGGTTTTTTGTTTGTTTTGTTTTTAATATCTTCAGGGTTTTGACCCTCAAATAAAACATCAGAGAGACTTTACCCTCTGGCAAAACCCTTCCCTGGCTCCAGGAGACACAGAGAAGGGGCGGGGGGGGGAAGCCAAACCAAAAAATAAGGCCCTAATATACAAAGCCACATAGGTATCAAAAGCTGGAAACAATAACCCATCTGTATAAGGGAAAACATTAGCTGAAGGAATCTATTAAAGCAAAGCCTTCTTTTAGCTCCTTGAATAGTGTAAATATTACATTAAAAAACAGACGTCAGCTTGTGGACTTTATAAGGGGCCATATCATTCTTCACTGGAGTAACAACTATGTAACTGCTGTGAAAACAGGATCTTGATACTATACAAGCCTGCAATATAGCCAAAGTATTATATAGGCTTTGACACTAATTTGGACAGGCTCCATGCCTTGGTGGAAAGTGGAACTTATGACTTCATCCCAAATAGGCCTTAATGGAGTTCTGCAAATATCTGGACCATCTGAACCAATCAAAATTAAACAAAATAAAACAAAGTATTGTGTGCACAGCTCAGCTGATCCTGAAAGCCTTTTTGCAAATCCTGGGAGACCCGGTCCATTGGGCAAGCTGTTCTCTAAAGAGCTGAGACCTTTAGTAGCTGCCATGTCAGTGGGACAAGCATTTACGATACAAAGACTGCCATCATAACAGACCTAATCAAGAATTATAGACCACTGCCTTTGTTGAGAGACTTTCTACAAAGAAGTATCAAACACTAGTGTTACAGAAATCATGTGGAAATGCCAGATATTCATGGCCAAATGGGATCATGAGAATGAAAGATGCTGTTTATATGGTGGGTGCTTCTGTCAAAATAGTTTCAGTTTTGAAAGAAACAGCACAGAGAAAGTCTGAACAGTAACTCCCTGCACTGAAGCTCTTTTGTGGTGAGCACTGGGTTTCAGTTTCCAGTGATGACACATTGGTATTTCACTCTACACCCAATGGATGCCAAACAACGTTGAACAGTTCTCTAGAGTGTGTCCTCAAAGTCTGAGCATGTCAAAGCATTAATAGATACATTCACAAAATTACCAACTTTACAACGCTTCTTTCCTGCAGATGTAGACAGGGAGACATATATGGTGACATGACAATTAAAACTCATCCAGGAAATCACTGGCAGAATCAGGAACTGACACTGAATCCAGTGCTCTCTTATTTCCACCATCATTTATAGCACGTTGTATTTATGCAACGTAGACAAATCCTAACTCCCTGGGATCAGTAGGTGCTTGGCATCCCTGGGTGACCATCCATTACATGGACTTTGCCATGGGTACTATTGGGATGACATCTATTTATTGGCAACATGACTTCCCTCTCAAACTCATCTCTTCACAACTGCAGAGAGGTGACCTTACTGCTTTGCACTGTTCAGAACAGAATGGGAACAAGCCGCATACCTGCTACTGCAAAATGTGGATTTAAGATCTTTCCT